ATGAACAACAACATGCTCACGATCGTTGAACAAAGTGTATGTTCTCTGGATGGACACAGCAACCATTCACATATATGCGTAGAAGACCACACAATGTATAGAAGAAAAGACCGCATGTCGTGAATTCAAGTGCTTTTTCTTTGTTCTCCGATTTTTTTGAGAGAGAAAAAAAAGAACAAAAAAAAACTTTTACGGCTTGTTCACTCAGTTTTTTCGAAATTCTTTTCGGTTTTTTTCGCTTCTTTCATTTATTTGTTTTTTTCCGCTTGTGTATTTGGCAATGCGACAATTATCAGTGACTCAACGCCCGGTATTCTTTGCTCTATTCTCAATTACTTGTTCACTTTTGCTCCTGAATGGAACCGAACATATCGAACGACTAATTTGGATTATTTTATCAATTCATGGTGGCTTCCTTTGATTTTGCGAGCAGTTTTTTTTTTTCTTCTTATCGATCAAGTGATATAGTCAAAATCTCCGGGAAAAAAAAACATTGTACGTGTTTACCTTATTTTTTATTTCGACCTTTGATCGAATGAATAGTGAGAAGAAGAATAATAATCAATTTCAAGAGAGTACGCTTAAAAATAGAACAAAATGGAGTCTATTTCAATGTGATATTGAATTACAGTACCGCTAAATTGAAACAAATCTTTCATTTGGGCGAGAAATTAATGTAAAAAAAAAAATCATTTTCATCCTCAACGAAATGAATAAAATTTTAGGAGCTGATTAAAAAAAGGAAACAGAACGGTGATTTTCAAATAAATGTTATTGATAATGTGATTGGTTTTTTTTTAAACCAAATGAGCATTTGTTTAAAAACGTAACGTCTATTTTCTCGCTCAAGTGCTTCGAATGTTAAGATTTGAAATGTGTTATAAACATTTTCCTTCCGTACATCGTAATCATAATCGTTATCATTGGCCATTAAAAATCGATAACAATTTGATGAAAGAGTTATTGTGTCAATTGTGAGCCAGTCAATATCGCTCTCTGATCAAATCGATATGAAAACAATTTGAAAATGACATTGGAACAAGTCAACGTGGCGCTAAGTGTAAGTTGATCGTCATGCATGCCATGAACAACTTATACACGTATGAACAGAAGCCCTAGGATTTATTTTACACAGACATTCTAGACGATCGTTTCTACTTCAGCACCTTCTTTTGATTTAGTGTGCGTGCGTGTGTTTGTGTTCGTTTTTGTTTACTCTCAATCTCTGTGGAAAAATTCGATCGAATTTATTACACTCAAATAAATTTTTATCACTTCATTAAAACACACGCATACGCGCGCACAACATGTACATAATTAGATACAGACTGCATGGCCACAAAAATCGTTTCGATGCCTAGGGATGAAAACTGAACGTTGAACAGCAAACGTGACGAGACGAGATGCGTTGTAATGACACAGTGATTGAACGGTTGAAATCATGGAAAAAAAAAACATCGAAAAAAATTCACCGTATACAATCGATGCTGAACAATTTTTATCAAACTAAAAAAACCAACTTCAACATAACAGATAACACGATCGACAGACACACACAAAAAATGAAATAGAACGGTGCGTATAGAATAACTAAAGAAAAATTTTATGTGACATCACGGCGAGTGAGGTATTTCCGAGTTGATAATTCAATAGCAAAATATGTATCGCTACGATATAATAATGTTGTGAAAACTTAATGACCGAAAACATTCCAAAGAAATATCTACATGTTGCAATTGCTTTGATTATGAATTGTTAACGGCCGTGTGTTTAGCCAAAGAAGTTTGGAAAAAAGCAGCAGCAGCAGCGACGCTGAGTAAGAGATAGAAGAGATAGACAGAGAAACATGCAGACAAGAATAAGATAATGATGAAAATGAAATACAACACAGAGGAAAAAAAAAACGCGCAGTAAGTAAAATAGCACGGAATCAGATGGCTTTAGATCATGAATGATGAATGTTTTCCAGAAAGAGAGAAAGAGGTTTTCTCATCACATTTAACGTTGACATTTTTCCATCGACGTCATGCAAAGAATGTTACCAAACTGGTTGTGTGTGTATGGACGACATCGCATAAAGTAGTGTTTTGCAGAGTGCTGCTGCTGGCCTCACCACACTGATTGAACTACGAGAGACGCTACTAAATGTAACAGATGAAACGATGGTATGAAGGCAGAGGAAAAAAAAAAAACAAACAAAAACGACAAATTCACATTCACTAAACGAATGGATTAATGTACAAAAGCTAATGACAATCGAACTAACCACAAAAAATAGTTTTGGTCGATTAAATTGCGTACATGCCATTCATACCATTCGGCGGTTACATTTTAAATTAAAACAATTCCACAATTGAAAATAGAAATTGAACAAGCATCAACGACGGGATTAAAATGCGGTTGTTATTTCAAGTCTTCCATCGACAATGGCGTGCAGAACGATGCCACGCAAAATGAATATGATATGAAAGTAACCGATCAATTATCCATTTTTTTTTTTGATTCAATTGCTTCGATCCCCTTCACATTTCATGGCTCAATGTCAATGGTTCTCTTTTTTTCGGGTGCTCTCAACTTTCAAACAATCAAATTCATTATTAAAAAAAATTAGTTTATCGAACTCTTCGAAGCCTTCTCAACTTTAAAAATAAACGATATACGAATGTGAATGTGTCATTTTTGAATTTGCTCGATGATTATATCGAATGATATGTAGCTGTTACTTAAATCGTCGGGCAAATGAAGAGAGAAGTGAAGGAAATCTGCTTAAGTATATTCGCTTAATGGAACGATTAATGGACTGTATTTGGCGAATGAAAGAAACCCTTTTTGCTGTTAAGGATGTAGTTATGCCTCGGGCATATTTTGATTGTATTAACGCAACCATAAATAATATCCAAACCATGGCTTTGCGTGGATTATTCATGCAATGGTTTTTTTTTCTCGCTTAAATAAATACGCTTCGTTCCATTTGAGCGAGAGATGACTTAAATTACGGGCTTCCTCTTGAGTCATTCGGAAGTAACGCATGAAATGACAACAAAAATAACAACAGTTGAAGCAAACAAATAGTTTGACTGGAATCAAGTGATGATAAAATGCACTAATGAGGGAAAATATTTGTACATCTAACACGAGATGCTGGGTAATTGAAAATCTTAGTTTATCGACGATTCAGCACTTTTTTCTTCACTTTTTCCATTTTTTTCGCATTTTTTCTTCTTTTTTTTTCTTTTAAATTGTCGTCTTTCAATTGTAATACCTTTTAAAAGGTGTGGTTCAAATGGTAATTCGATTGACATTGGAATAATGTGTACGTGCGCCGTGTACAATATTGTCAACATGAAATTACAAAATACACCGGCAATATTTTTGTTGATATTGGCGTAGAAAAACCCAATCGAATTTATCTCGAGACACAATCAAGAGTCGATTGGAAAATGTTTTAGTTGATTTTGTTTCCTTTGATGCAGTGAGAAATGAAATCAATGATTTCATACATTATGTGACATTCAAGAATTGGCAGTTACATGCCAAGCGATAAAGCAATTATTTTGCCAAAGGCCTAGCTTAAGCCGACACTCGGTGCACACACTCAGTGTAAAGTGTAGTCACGATTTTGTCTTTTGAAACTCAATCGAAAAGCATCAAAGTCTTTTGAAAGTAATGGAAATACTAAATCCATTCTCTTGTACGTATCAACCAAACGTTGTCTTTTTTTTATCTTGAAAAGGACACACTATTGGCATAATCTAATGATTATTATAAATGAAACGAAAGTGAAACACAATTTTTTTTATGTGTCCATTTGTCAGTGTATTAGAATTTCAATGTGTGTCCAGTTTGAAAGAGAAAAAGGGACCGAGCCCACAATGGGTGAACGATAAAAAAAAGCACAACAAACGAGTTTTGTTTTGTTTCGATGATAATATTATTGAAATTGGCTCTCTAGTTGTAGGTTGACAACATTTTTTTTTGTTTGTCGTACACTGTTCAGATATTTCAAATGTGTCAGACTTTTTGTCTGATTCGTTGACGTATTTGACTTGTCACTTCATTTGTATTTAATATCATTTTTTTTTTTATTTCTTTTTGATTCAACGCATAAAACTTGCTGTGGACGCCGTCGTTCAAATTACGGAATCGAATGCGAAACATCGAAAAGACGTCATTGCGTCGTGCCAGTGATATGAAGTCAACGTCTAACTCAATTCCAACTCTTTTTCTGCACCAAAACACCGATTAGAACAATAAACGAATTTTTGATATGGTATGCTAATCAAATCGAGCGCGATCCGCGCGACGAATTAAACGAATCATATCTTTTTCTGTACGTGTTTCTTTCTCTCTCTCTCTTCATCAGCACAGGTTTCAATACGCAATTTATACGATCATCTAAAATAAAGTCATTGGGGTCGTATCATCATTAATTATTTTATTACGCAGAAAATAATATTTTACGGTTGTTAATAATCAAGCTCACACAACGCTCAAATGCCATGTCATTCGTTTAGGAAACTCTTCTCTCTTTCTCTCTTTTTTTATCCATCTCTTTCTCGCCCAAGATAGAGAGAAAAATATAAAATGTATATTCATTTCAAACCGAAGGTTATTCGATCCGATTCGATTCGAGTTGATTCGAGTTGATTCGTTTTGTGTGTAGTTGTTTGCACCGCATGCTAACGCGCAGAGAGTAATTTTTCTTCCGGTTATTGGTATGTTTGAAACAAATATTGGGCTTCATTTCACCGAATCGACAATCGATTCCTTGTTTCTAACGAAAAAGATATGACTATATTTGTGGTAGACATTATTTTGCATAGGAATGTGGTGAACGAACTTTGATGGAATTAATTGTTGACGCTTTTATGGAGGCTATTATAGATTGAACAAGCAACCCGAAAAAATTGCTTGAATTCGAACCAAAAAAAAAAAAAAAAAAAAAAACAATTCGTCGAACTAGTTATTCGTTTTTTTTTTTTGTCTTCGTTTTAACTTACTTTAATTTTATGGCGTAGAAATACATAAAATGCAGCCAAAACAGATGCAAATTCTTGATTTGGTTCCTCAACTTGTTCGTTGATCGTTCGCACGAAATGATATCATCAACCGTGGCAAGAAAGTTATTACAATGTCACAGCACAATTGGTGGCGTTGTTTTCCAACTCTCGCGACAAAACTATAATTCAATTCTTTATTGGGTTCGTTCAGCAGAAATTCGGTTTATGTGTGCTAGCACTTAGTTTTGACGGTTGTTTTAATGTTCACTTCAGATTTTAATGCAATTTTTTTTTTTATTAACAATTCGATTTGTTGTGTTTCACTTGAAAAAGATCGTTCTCTTTTTTCGATGCGATTTACAAACGAGTGCGTTGAAAGAGACTTTTTTTTTCATGTCACTAATTGAAATGTTAAATTCAATGGATAATTTGGATAAGCACAACTCGTGGTCATATATCGAAGATTTAGTAGCAATTTGTTTCCTTGCACGGAAATCAATTTCGACTTTGTCCACTTGAATACTGACAGTTTCATGTTAAACGGTCGTATTCCTTAAAATTTGGATAAATTCCCATTTTTTTTTAACCATTGACACCAAATGACAAGTTGAACTAATTTTTTCGTATTGTATTTTTGTCTTGCACTCGAACACCACGTATACAGAAATATGCTAATAATGTGCATATTATGCACTCGATAAAAATGGCTTGGTACGTCTTTCCATACTCTCCACATGTACTATGTCACACAATTTGAGTAGTTCTGGTCAATAAAAAGATTATTATTTTTTTCGGTCGACGTTTTTTTTTTTAATCGCAATCGAACGAATATATTCAATATGGAATGTGACGAAAAAAACAACATTCACTATTGTGGCACAGCATGCGAGCATGCATACATTCAAACCGTTGATGATATTGAAGAAGAAGAAAATTGATCGTGGCTCATGGAATACCGGACAACAGTCAAAATACACCGATTCATATACAAATTAACGTACACTGAGAGATACATATAGATATTGGAACGCGAAGAGAGACGTTCAACAGCCAACAAGAGGCGGCTAAATCGCAACTCTATTTCAACTTGTTCACACTGCCACTAAATGGTTTTGTTTTTTCAGCTTTCACATTTATTCTCTTCGAGAGCCGTTTTGTGTGTGTTTTTTTTTCTCTCTCTCTCTCTCTCTCTCTCTCTCTCACTTCTTCTTTCAAAACACACGCTGCATTTCATGCAGCAGTCGCCGTTATTGGCTCTCTGATATTGGGTACGTCTCTCTGATAGTGACGATAGTGATGCACTTGATATTTAAGAAACAACACAACACAAAAACGAAAGCGAAATACATACAAATTTGCGCGGTTTCGATGAGCAATTTTTGTTTCACCGAAAACACACATAAACTAAACTTGGTTTTCTGGTCGCAAGTCAAAAGAACAATGTAAAACACGTAAATTTATTCATTCGTTGTTATCGCTGGCCATATTCGGTAAATCAATAGGTATAAATGTGTTTTTTGAGCCACCGCCGACAGAGCTTGTGTGATTATTCGATGCTTTAATCAAAAAAGATAATCCTTGAATTGTGCTGGAAACTTTTAATCGACACTTTGCAATACACTTCTTTTTTTTTTTCTTCTCTTGATCGCTCTTTGTCTCACTGAAATTTAACTATGGAAGGTTTTGGTTTTTCATGCGTTTCGTTGTTTTTTGTTGGTTTCTGTTTATTGATTCATTTTTGCGGTTCATTTATTCGGATTATTCATGTAATACGAACAAACTGGAAACTATTTACTCACTCACATACGACAAAAAATATGGTTGCATTCAAATTTTTGAAGTGTGTTTAAAGTCCACAATCATTTAAAAAAAAAATGTTATGTCAAAAAATGCATGTTGTCTGCGTTACGATACGATGTGATGGTGGTTGGTTGCTGGTGCTGCTGCCGTTGTTGTAGTAGTCGTTGTTGTTGTTGTTGCTACTGCTGCTGCTGCTGTAGTCTGTCCAAATGTTATATAGCAGTGCCACCGTTTTCTGTCACACTTGTACTGCATCACTCACCTGTATGAGTGTAGTTAAATGTCACAATTCACATAAACACTGAACTGTATGCTGGAGAAATTATGATACATGTGAATAGCTTAAAAACGGCAGAAGTAAAAATTATTCAAAATTCAACATCCACAGGCAACAGTTTTTGATCCGTTGAAGTATTTGACAAATAAAATTTATATATTCACATCAAAGAGTCAATCGATGATAGAGAGAAACAAAAAAACAACCGACACATATACACACGAAACGAATAAATAAATATAAAAAGACAATAAAACTTGATTCGATATCGAAAATATCAACACAATATTTTGGAATGTAGAATCCGTGAGCTCGTTGACGTTTCATTCGATCGTCGTTTCGGAGACTTCAAATCGCATATTAAAATCGAACAATCGACATTTGTTCAAGCATTCATCGATTCGTTGGTATTCGATGGAGAAAAAAAAATGCACAAAACAAAAACGGAAAAACTTTGACGACTTCAACTATTTGCTGAATTAGTTGGTAATTCAGATACACAAAAATTGAATATCTGTGTTGAATAAAGAATGCAGAAACTCGGTTCGGATAGTGTTTGTATGTTTAACTATGATATTTTTTTTTTCTTCTTTTATTTCTTTTTTGCTGTGTGCCGTGTGTTTTTGACGACAAATGAGATAAAAATGGATGCTGTTTATTCTGCGTTCAACTCTCAACTGGTTAATGAAAACAAGCAATTTGAACGAGAGATGAAAAGTTGAGTCGGGCTTCTGGCTCTCGCGCGCGCATATATACACAGAGCCCGAGCACAGAGAGCGTGCACAGCACAACACACAACACATATAATTCCATGACGACTGCGAGATCGTTTACGGACTGGGCCGAAAGCTATAAAATTACTGTTGTTGTTGTTTTCACGAACAAATGCCAACGTAAATCGCATTTTATGTGCTCGATACACACTCTGCAAGAGCTGGTTTCTGATAGTTTTTTTTTTCTTCTCGTTTTTATTTCCAATATATATATATATATATATATGTTTTTTTTTTATTATTTCATTATCTGCTTCGTCGTTTTGTCTTTTTAGCGAGCGTGTTATAACTTGTAAGCGAGTTTAGCACTGTGTGTTATAATTGATATTCTCTTGGTGATATCTTTTGCTCTGGTGAGCGAGCTACAGCCTAGTCAGCCGTTGTACGACGGTGTGTAGTTGTCTCTCTCTCTCTCTCTCTCTCTCTCTCTCTCTCTCTCCGTGTGTATGTATATTTTTTTGTCGTTCAATTTGAATATTACGGACAAAATGTCGTGTTTGGTTCGTTATATTATTGTTTGATTTGTATGTACTGTCTAATTAACGGGTTAAAATGTAATGGATTCAATAAATGTTTACTATCGATGCTCAGTGGACATTGAATTTTGACGTGAAATAATTTACACAACACTTACTTCAAGATGATAATAATAATGATCGAACGGTAATGGTTTTAAATATTTTGGTGAATATACTCGCAATTTAAGTTCGATTGTGTCTCCTTTGTGACAAACTATCGAACAAACCAGTCAGTCACATACACCCATCTCTCAACACACGCACAAATACACACACACACACATATATATACATCACGATCAATGGGACAGCATCCACTATAACATTTGCATACATGCCACTTGCTTCAATGCAGCACACACCGATACACACACAGCAGATCTATGCATAATACGTTTGTGTGATGTTGCTCATAGAGTTTTATGCTCGTACGTATGTCAGTTCTATCGTCGTTTCAATAGGGTCAGTTGTCATTTCATCGATAATATATCGATGTTAAACACTTTCATATTATTATTATTGTCTGGATGCTTCCATAGTGGTGTGCTTTTGATGTGATGTGAACATTTCTCTCTCTTCTCGCTCATGACTTTGAATACAGAAAAAAATCACATTTTTGTTGTTGTTGTTGTCGTTTGTTTTTGCAACTCTAGCGAAGACGGTGCGAAATGCAAAATTCGTGTATCGTTTTTCGATTATACCAGCAGCGAATGTAGGTGAACTGTTTTTTTTTCTCTTCTTTCGCAAAGGGAGAGAGAGAGAGAGTGTTGCACTGCGCTCTATTCGCTATCAATTTAAATTAATTCAAGTATTATGCAAACTTGTCTACAATGCAAGAGAGCTAGCTCTCTTTCAAACTACACTGTTTGTACAGTTACAAATAGATTTGTTTTTTTTTTTCGCCTTCCACCTTACCTTCTTTCTTTCTTCATATAATCACTTTTTCGTTGTTCATGAGCCGCATGTATCAATCAGGTGTATAGCGCATGGCTGTTGTATAAGTCTTTTTTTTTTTCGAAATTCTATTTCATATTTTCATTTATTTTATCACGTTTTTTTTCGTCCATTTTATTTATCCTTTACTGCAAAACACGTATGTATGCAAAGTCAACGAAATACGAACCACACATAAATTGATTGAGTGCGTTTTTTTCGATATCAAAACTCAACGTCAAACTGTTCAACTAGCAAAACACGTTTATGAACGTAGAATATTTTTTTATGATTGCTGATTTTCCCTTTAAATCGAGAAAATATGAAAAAAAAAGTGATTATTTCTTCATGTAAGCACTCGCTGTCCTGCGCAATTTATGTTCAAGAGGTTCACGGTGTGTATGTGCGTGCGCGCGATTTTTCTGCAGCATTTATTGCATGCGTGAAGATTGTACGGCGTTGAATGTTCGTATAAATTCTTACATTTTTAATTGAAAACATTCACCGAATCGACAGCAATGCGCAAAGCTAGATGATTATACCGAGAAGCGAGACGATTCTTTTTCGTCGTGCAATTCATCAGCTCATCCGGTTTTTTTTTCTCATCTCGATTCGTATTCGGTCCATATCTCTTTATTATCGTGTCGTGATAATTCACACCCACAGAAATTAAATTCATTACACGCGGTTGTACGCAAGAATCTCGACTAGAGTGTCAAACAAAATGTGCGGCGTTGTGAAGCGAGTAGGAAGAAATTTCGCAAATTCGACAGAGTCTCATAAACAATTTCAAATCAACCGTGATATTTGAGACGATGGGATCGAGCGGAGAGAGGAGACACAAGATACGAAGTATGACCAAGAATGCATAAATGAAAGAAAGACATTTTCTCTCACTCGCACTCGCACACACAGACACAGAGAGATAGACACAGTGTTACTTACACAGTCGAGGCTGTGTTCCACAAATTAACATTTTATTGTAAAATTGCCTCATTTCGCCTAAGCCTGTTGTCGCTGTCACAACTTTTTGTTTCCAATAAATTTGCACCGTCCAACGAAATGGTAATGTTCAAACATCCATACGTCAATCGGTCGGTCGATTGAGTAGTATCGATAAGTTTGCGTTTTTCAGCATTGTAGCACTGTATGTATCTGTCACCTTATAAAATCGTTGCCATATTTTATTGAGCGAAAAGTAAACAAGACCTTTTTGATGTATTCTTTTCCTACCAAAGATTGTTCGACTCACAGCAGCGCGCAAAGGAGAAAAAAGACGACATAATGCCTCTATGGTGCGGAATGCATGGCGGTTTTTATTGGGTTTGCCGAACCGAGAGTACAGACACATTGTCGCTCTTATCAACCGTATATCATAATTGTTAATTAATGAGTACTGTATCGCTGTTGTTGCTGTGTGTTAGTCGCTGATCATCATCTGCTAGACTATTTGACGGCTCTGCTCTCAACCGTCACACAATGCCCAATGCTTAACTTTGGTTCATTCATTCCGTTTTGTTATTTTGCTCGTTGCTCGAGTTGTTATTGTTGTTGTCCTCACATTTTTTTTTCCTGTTCGTTCGCCATCAAGACCGTTTTTGCCTATTTTGGCATATGCCCGATATGTGCGCACATACATTTACAACACTTTTTTTGTGTGTTCGTATCGCTGTAACATATGTGCGATCGAAAAAAGTGTGAAGAATTTATTGGCTTGACGAAATGGAGTGTTTTTTTTTTCTCGTCATTCACAAATTCCAAGAGCCAGAGACAGAGCATGAGCGAGAGAAAGAGAGAGCAACAAAAATGTCTATATTTCATGCAGACTTGATTCAAAGCAATCGTGAGTAATTATGTGTGTAGGCTGTAGTGAGTAGAGCGACACTTTTAATTCATTTATTTATGATTTTTTCGTGCCAATTGCATCGTTTATTAGGAGTAATGACTTTATTTCAACCATTTAATTATTTGGCTCTTACGCTTACTTATGACACATGCTCATGCCTCGATATCATTATTATTATGAACAAGTTTTTTCGTTGAATTTGAAAGGCTGCCCAGCTATATACACTCACATAATTAGCTTTACAGTTGAAATGAAACGCAGCACTCGAATCAAATTCATTTTTAAGTTTCGTCGGTTTGGTATTTGAAAAGAAAAAAAGAAAAGGCTTGAAATGTTTGTTTGGAGAATGTTAATCTTCTTAACGGTCAATCGCTCTGTGCTGCCGCGCGTCGATCAATTTCGAAGCGATGACAAACCGAGTACGATTTTCTCTATGAATGCGCAAAGATTCCTTCCGTTCGACAGTTTTTTCTTCTTCTTCTGCATCATGGTTTGCATCAGCATATACGTGTATTCATTCAACCATGTCGGCACCTTTTTTGTTCTTTGCTCATTCTTTATTCATCTTTTTTTTTCACTCGCTGCAGCTTCTCTCGCTTTATTTTTATAATTCAATGGATATCAAATCATCCATTAAATATTTTTTGTTTGTCGTTTTTTTTTTTCGGAGATTGTTTAATGTTGTGAAAATTCATTTAAATAAACAATGATCGCAAGACATGTGAGAAAAAGGATATGCACGGTGTCATTTACGTACCAAAAGCAAAGTACCGGTAATGTCGCAAATTAAAACAACAACACACAACGAGAAAGAGAGAATCTGAACGAATATCGTAATATTTTCTCATCATATTTTGCGATTCCAAAAATTATACGTACAAAAAAGGTAACTGATATGCGTATTTGCCGGCTAAAACAAAGGCCAGGGATCAAGAGAAATAGCTGACAAAAACAAAAACTACCACTACAACAGCAACAACAGAGTGCTCCGTAAAACAGGACGATGCATTGATGTGAGAATAATCTAAGAACATTCAAAACAGACACAATGGAGCCATATTGAAATCCGAAAAGTTTGTCGAGTTCAAATTCCACATGCTCACACAAGCAAGCAACAACAACAAAAAAACATGAATGAAAAAAAAAAACATTTCAAGCGAAGCAGAAAAAAACTTACACTCTTTAACTTGAATTAAGATTAACATAAAAATGAAATATCAGCCCGAGAGAGAGAGAGAGCTACATTCGAATTTGTTGCAAATGTGTGGATATATAGATATTGGCATTTTACGTACCGCAGGCGTTAATTAAATCGAATCAATTACAATCGACTCAAATTATAGACTCGGGGCAACATATCTATATCTCTATATATGTGTAACGACAACGAAATAAACGTCACCAACTCAAACATATAATTTGTGCTTCCCTTTGTCAACACGCCAACCTCTAGCTCGAAGCGTTCATGCTATGTTGTGTGCATATATATATACATATATATTAATGATCTCTCCGATCAATTACAAACGCCATAATTAAATTAATTGTGAATTTACATCCTTAATTTTACTCGTTTGAAAGAAATACTCGTTGTATTTTGTCACATGAAATATGTTTTTGTTGTTGCTGTTGTCGTTGTCAATGTTGTCGTTGTTGTTGTTGTTCACAGATCAACAGAACATTTGTCATGATCGAGTTTAACGGTTGTCAATTCAATCCATCAATTGCTGGTAATTGCTGTCATATGTATGAATGCGGTCACAATTTTAAATAGCTTTAGCACATCAGGCGAAGTGATGAAAGTTTTCATGTTTGAACGATTATTATGACGGTGCTTTCTATTCGTTCTTCTTGCCACAGCCAAATGGAAGGTCGTTGTTTAGAATTTCTTTTGCTCTCTCGCTCTCTAATTAGCAACCCGATTCATCGCCTAAAGTTTTCGAAGTCACATTGACTTTTCGGGTGATTAAATAAGCAAAATTATTTTTTTTTCTTTGTAGCGAACAGTTGTCAACCACAAATCATAATTTATAGACCAGCCAAGAGTTATTAATTGGGCATATACATTGTTCTAAGGGATATTTAATTATGATTTTCCCAATATTCGTCTACACACGGAATAAAAACAAACGCACTCTGCACCTGTGCATAATTTCTTTAATCATTAAAATTATGTGTATGATTCAAACGTTTTGTCATAGCGTCTAATTAAATATTCAAATTTAGCGGTTGCAATGTGTGGAACGAAAATATTCCAGTGCTAATTGATATGCAATTGTGTTTATACGAAATTATCGTTTTGAGAGCTTGTGATTATTCAAATTTCGATTCATTGATTCACAGAATCGGATTGAACAATTGTTCAATGTGTTGCACTGTGCAATCGGTAGCAACGTGTGTGTGTGTGTACTGTTTTATTTCACTTACGCAGAAAGAAACGGTTTCTTTGTTTTATACTCAAGGGTTTTGACGCAATGTGTTGTCAATACAGTTTTGTTTTTCTATCAGATACTGTACAGTTGTCTGAGCACACGTCGGAATGACAATGCATGGTCATAGTACGTGGTCTGTGCTCGCCTCGTTACATAACAAGCAGATGTTCCACTTTCGATAAAATTCTGTTAGAATTTTCCGAAAATATTATTCTCATCTTAGCATCTGCCGTGTACTTATTTGTTCAGCTTTTGTTTTCTTCTTTGTGTGACCACCTCTGAATTCCGAATTCTGTGTTCATTTCGAAAGATATATACTAATTGATTACAAGATTGAAAGCAAAAACTACATTTGGATATTGAATTAACATGAACATATTTGTTCGTCGTATCTAATTGGGGCGCTTTGAATATTGGCGTCAGGTAAACTTTATAAATTGGTTGAGCTCATTTGTTGATGATATCATAACTGTTTGGAATTTCATCAAGTATCGATCGCTGCTAAACGAAATAAAATGTCTACTATTACTAACTTGGCTGCCTTCATCCTATTCGGATATTTTGTATTGTTGACCGTCAAATACTGCGGCAGAAGAATTATACGATCAATTAACAACTAAAGACAAAATCACGGATATTTTATTTTTAGCCAAATTTCATTTTTTTTTTTTTCAAGTCAACGTTTGTGATATAAAATTTTGGTTCCAAATAATGTGCGGTACATGTACTGTACCATATAATTGCAATTATGTACCTTTATAGCCGTTTATTATACTAACACTTGAATAAAATTCAAATTCGTTCAGTTCGAAAAAGAATGTGCTTTACTGTTTTTTATTTTCTTATCGAATTTCAATCTTTATGTCTGAAATACAAAAGGTGTAGATCCATAACGTTTGTTCCTGTGTGGCCAATATCAATGTGATACATGCCCTGTGCCAGATTTGAATAAAAACTAAACGAATCATTATTTTGTATGAACGCATCAATAACACTTTGGCTTTTTCCTGGTATCATCAAATAGTTTCGAATAATGTCAGCACCTCCTATGGCTCCAGCAGCTGGTGTTGGTCCTATGATGATTTCAATGTGATCCGACAAAGATAAACCAGAAAAAAGAGAGAGGAAAATACCAATCATCGAATGAATGAAAATGGACCAAAGTAAATGATACTACACCGCTTATTCTTACCATCAATGCCATCTGTTCCTGCGGCCAGAAGAAATACATCTTGCGTCAAGTCATCGTTGAAAGACAGTTGACCAAAGCGAAGTGCAAGTTCTTGGTTTCGACCACCAATGCCATTGCCGGTGATTTCCACCGTTGGTTCGCCTCCGCCAATTATACACAAATCCATTTGCTCGGCTTTCGATTCGTGTACGATTTGTTTGATGTTTAATAGAAACTGGTCGCGAATGGAAAGTGTTTCACGTAGACTGATTACAAGTTGATGGAATTGATCGTCGTTTATCTGGCCGTTTTTAAACGCTTGAATACATTTGCTGAGTTCAAAGTATGCGTTGCTGAGATTAGAAACGTTCCCTTCAATTTTTGTCGACAGAATAATTGCTTTCAATTGTCTTTGGGCTGCTTCAGTAGCGACGGCATTTACAGCGATTTCATTGTTTGCGATAATAATGTTTTGAATATTCTCCGCTTTGGGTAAGCTCAATGTAGTTGCATTTTCACTTATTGCCTTTTGAATGTGTGCAGGTAATGAATCCCATAGATTGAATCGTTTCAAAATATCGATCGAACGCTCTTCTGTTCCAAGGTTTTGAGATAGAACAGTGGGACCACTTGCAATTAAATCAATCGGATCACCAATGATATCCGAAATAATGAATGTGATAACGATGCCCGCATTCCTTGCACAGTTGGCCAATTTCCCACCTTTTGTTTCGGACAAATCGATTCGAACACGATTGATGTCGGTAATGGTTGCACCTTTGCTAGCCAATTTCTTAATAATATCCAACTTTTCATGGAGTGACACACCTTTGCATGGCAATGGAAGCAACGCCGAACCACCGCCCGAAATCAAAACAAATAACACATCATCCTTATTTAAACTTTTTACAAACTGTACAATTTTAGCAGCGGCTCGCTTCGCATTTTCATCGGGCAAATTGTTCTTTGCACCTTCGAACACTTTAATCGCAGACGACAATTGAATATCGCCAAAGTTCTTGTGTATATTTAACGGAACACTTATCATCCCAGATTCCAACCGATTGCCAAGTACTTTACTCAACTGGCTAGCGAGCCCATACACGGCTTTACCAAATCCAACTAGATGGCACCGCTTACTGTCATGAATATCTATTGTCACACGATTTTCATTGAAATTGCAAATGATTTTCGATGCATCCGTATCAATGGTCAAATTGTCGGCACGGAAAATATGCTCCGGTTGCACTGAACTCACACCACAAGAAAATAAAGTTTTTAAATTACTCAGTAGGCATTCGGATGCCATTGCTTTAGTGGAAAATTTTGAATGAAAAACTCGACTGAACACAGAATGACGTGAACAAACACTGTGTTTTATAAATGTTCTCGTTGTAATCATCGCTCATTCATTCAGCGATTGAGTATTATAGCTGATAAGACACCCTTTTTATAATCGATTGCAGAGCAAATACAGAGAGACAAGTGATTCGTGAATGTGTTTACGTTCAAGTGTCAAATTTGATTGTTTTTGAGTCTCTTCGGAAAGGTATTTTTCACTTATACACTCTCATCGCATACAATGAATGTCACAAAAACAAAAACTCCATCTCTGTTCGAATAACCAGTCGAACTCATGAAAATCGCTTCAAATGAAACGGCCATAAAAAAAAACGTTTCAAATGTTCTGTTCACGATTTTATCAAATCAAACGAAAACATTCAAAAGAGTCGTTGCACTTGAAACCATTTTACGCATACGACGGAAAAGTAAAATCACGCGATGAAATTGTGTGTGCGACTGCAACTGGTTTGGGAGTTGGTAACTCATTCGTCGAGAGATAAAAGCGAGCAAAGTGCATTCCAAAAAAGAGTTTGACCTTGCGCCAGATGTATGAATTGCAACATGCATGAATCAAATGACTGTTTTTTGTTGCTTACTATTTATCGGCCAACATTAGGTGCCAGTGTATTACGTACACATTGGTGCAATCGCTGATATCCACAGCTGAGTTGTAATTAGACTGACGTCAACATATCGGCCGCGTTGAGTGAATTTTACAGAGCGCCCAGTCATTTGCTCAATGTGTTGCCGATCTTGTAGCCAAAAATTCCAATTGTGACCTCAATAAAATCGAAAGTGCCTTCTGGCCCAAAAAAAATCAACGCAACAGTGTTTCGATTATTTTTTTTAAGGCAAATGTCATTTGGCCTTTTTATTTTGGACAATGGGTAATGGAGAACATTAGACACTTGGAGAATCTCGTTATGTTTACGCGCCCGAATTCCTTAATGCATTAACCGATAAGCAGCAATTCTGATGTACTTAACATTTAAAACGAAAAGCATTTTAATTAGACTTCCACTTTTTTAACATTCGATTCTCACAACGGTTTTTCATTCCGTTATCACAACTAACCACGAAACTAATTAATTTCTCAAATAAATCAAATTATTTTAAACAGTCAGGCCTCATGACTCATGTAATTTACAGCAGAACACCAATAAACTGAATTCGTTTTGGAACAAACTAAGTGCGTTCTATTATTTCTCTTAAGAAATCATGTTGCTAAACAAACCAGGGCATATTTTAACCGGTAGTTCTAGTTATTCCGGTAGTTCTAAATCCTAATCCGGTAGTTCTCAACGAAAAATGCGGTAGTTGAAAATTTACATGTAATTGAAACCTTTTTCTGTACATTTTGCTTCTAACGATGCTAAAAACTTATTTTAAGCCGATATTATTTAGAAGCAATATTATATCGGTTCTATGCATTTTGACGAGCATTATTTTAGATAACGGAGACCGCAAAGATAAATAAAGAGTGTTGCATCTGCTGGAAAGAAATCAAAGCGATTTATTAAAAAAAAATTATGAAATGGCGATTTTTTCCGAAAAGAGTTACAGTACTGCTACCGAACACTTTGCAATGCTCAACGAGCAGAATTCGAAAAAATAATGCGATATTGAAAATAGCAAATCATTCGGTGTCAATTTTTAATGCGATGCACGTGACATTGATATTTTAATCGTGAGCTGAGAATAAAATTCGCATTTTTACAGTTAATTTGTTTTTTAAGACCGTAACATGAATTGTCGCTTCAATAGAAACGTCAAACGTTACATGAAATTTGTGAATCGTGGAATGTGTTTTTTTTTTGTTTTTCTTGCGAACACGTCTAAAACAGTAAAGCGGTGGAAATTGAACGTTTGTTTCAGGGCATATTTTAAGGAATTCTTAGAACTACTGGAAAAATATAAAAAAGATGAAAATGCGGCAAACTATAGGCAGGGGTACACATTTTTTTTTTTAAATGTACTTCGGCCTATATATATACATTTAAATAGCTCATGATCGTAACATGAAAAATGTGAATTTTAAATGCGTTTATCTTGTGAAAATGATAAGAGATAACGAATTGTTATCTCCAACAAAGTTATAGAGTTAGTTAGGCTCCGAAGCTTTGCTGGACACACTAATTCATGCCCTGAAACAAACGTTCAATTTCTACTGCTTTACTGTTTTAGATGTGATAGCAAAACTACTGTTTCAATTTTTATCATGCAAAGTATTCAAATTGAACCCAGCCCGAACCGAATCAAATCAAATGTTCTATTTAAATACCGTAACATGATCGAAACGGCTTCTTTGTGATTCGTCCGAAGGCGAATAAAATTGAAAAACTTTGATTTTCCGCAAACAGTTTTGAGTAAAATAACCCTTTTCATGGATATTCAGTGATTTGTGTGATTTTCAGCTGTTGGAACAAAAAAAAAACAATTATTTTTTTGATTCGCGTTGTGATTTAGTGCAATTTAAAAAAAAACGATCTCAAAAATGCCTAAAATTCTATTTATAATTTTCCTTACAGGTATACTCAATTTAAACGATGTGCTTAGAGTGTTCTTTCGTTTGATACACAAAATAGTTTTGTTGTTATTGTTGTTATTTATAGAAAAGTGAATTTTTGAATTTTCATTTTTATTCGTGATGTATCTGCGATGAAGAATGAGACCCCATAATTTCATATTTTTTTCAAATTCGTATGCCGAAAAGTTTTTCTTGTGATTATCACAGCTATATTTATGCATATAAAATGCAATGAGGAATAATATTGTTTAATTATAGTAAAATCAGTAGTCACTTATCTCCTTGGAAGTAATTTTAAATACTTCTCGAATGTTCCGAGCAATTTACAGTCAATTTATGTTCCGTGAGTCAAAGGGGATACCTCGATGCTTATGCTTTCCAAGAGAAAGAAAAGCTTTTCGCAATGCTAAATAATTACCGGGTGAATTGCAAACAATGATTCGTGTCGAAGTGCAGACATGCATGTATTTCCTAAGACTGAAACACTTACGTTCTCCCACTTTAAAAAAAAATGAGTAGGCCATTGAAAACTGACTGTCACACTTGAAAAGTTCTTCTTAAAAAATACTACAGATATTCCCACAAAATTGAATAGTAGAAGAAAAATGAGTTTGGAACAAGAGCAAGGGCAAAAACAAGAACCAAATTTAAATGTGTTGATCGAAACGTCAAAACCTCGAATATTTTTAACCATTTCATTTTTCATTACAACTTTTGGATTTCTATATGTTTTACTTATTTTCAAAGTGATTGCACTTATGAGCCATGGAACATCATCACCTTTATTTCCATTCGACATGTTTTCCAAATGCTACATCGCTGACGATAAATGTCCAAACGAGAATGTCACATTTTGGTTGTACACTAGGTAAGAATTGAATTTTTATCGGAAGTGAGTGATTTTGCTTTGAAAAATTTGCAACAAGAAAAATGTGTGATTTAATTGTTGATATCAATGTGATTTATTTTTAAAGATCGACACAAGATAGCCCACAGCAATTGAACATGGCAAACGAAGATACAATAACGTCGGCAAAATATACAGAGGGTCGACCCTGGCTTGTGTTACTACACGGTTACACTGGTGACAAAGATTATTCGCCAAACAGTCACCTTCGGCCGGCACTTTTCCAAAATGGAGAGTATAATGTAATTAGTCTCGACTATCATCCACTCGCACCGGAACCTTGCTACGTTCAAGCCGTTCATAATTTGCCAACCGTTGCAAAGTGCACCGCACAATTGCTCGATTTTATGATGGGAAAAGGAATGTTTACACTTGACGATTTGCATATTATTGGGTTCAGGTAAGTATTAACAAGGTTTGATATTTATTTATTTAAATATAAACCACATTTATTTTATTATTTTACAGTTTAGGCGCTCAGACTGCCGGGATGATAAGCAACTTCGTGAAAACCGGAAAAATACGACGAATTACCGGTATTTACTTAGTTAGAGAGTATTGATCAATGAAACTAATTAAAAATGATAATAAATTTTCTATTTTAATACAATGAGCAGCACTTGATCCCGCCAAGCCAATGTTCATTTTCGCCGATGCTGAACACAGAGTGGGTGTGTATAGAAAACCAGTCCTTTGTTACCATTGATCTGGCATAAAATGATTGTTATTAGCGGTGAACTAATTTAATCGAATGTAATTCATTAGGTCCTGACGATGCAGATTTCGTCCAAGTGGTTCACACTGACGCATTCGCTCGTGGAGTTTTATCAGCCAGTGGACATGTAGACTTTTACATGAATGGTGGTATTGAACAACCTGGCTGCAGCACTGCTGCACAACAGAATCAAAGTTAGCTTTCTTTAAATTTTCACCCATTTTCAAAGTGATGAAAAACGTTTCTATGAATTATGTTATATCAGGCACAGGCAGTTGCAACCACGACAGAGCACCGATTTATTTCGCTGAGTCCATTAATTCGGAGGCTGGTTTTTGGGGATTCAAATGCAGTCAATGGACAGACTGGGCAATGGGGTTGTGCAGAAATAGTAGAGAACAGGCAATCATGGGATGGAAAGCGACAAACGAGTATGTACTTCATGGAGTTGAGCTATGCATGTATATATATTTCATGAGAAAACTGAACAAATATTACGTGTACTGTTAAATTCCACTTCCTCTGAGAACATCTTAATCACATCGCAATTTGCGCTTCAATACCATGCATTGTTAATTGCAACGCAATTAATTCGAAATTGTGCATTACAGCATCATTCATAGCGCATACGAATGTACTCTGCTTACCTACAACAGCGTAAAATTTATTGTAGTTTTCTTGCGTCTGTGCGGCCATCATCGCCACACTTTATTTTCTCACATCGCTTGATTTGCTTTGAAGAGCGAGTTTATATTCATTTTTTGTTGAGATGAATTTATTTTTGTTATTATTTCTTCTTCGTATCCACTATCATGCGGCTTACGCAATGGTTGATTTCACTAGATGCGCGCGCATTATGTTACTCCAAAATAGTTCCACAAGAAATTATATCATTTCAATTTCGGATTTTTTTTTAAAAAGATACATCAAAAGCAGAAATACATTTTTTCCCGAAATGCGTCAACAATTTTGAGAGAATTCGAGCAAATTTCTTTTTTTAAACGAAGAAAATTATGATGAAATTGTGTGAGAACGTGCGATCGTTTGCTACGCGTGCTAATTTGACGATCATAATAAATTCAATTAGTAAATATGAATGTGGCCGTCGAAAAGTTGATCACCTTACACAGAGTACCAATTATCGGATTTAAGCCGTTCGACAGGGAGTAGGGTAGTGTCATTGCGCCACATATAAAAATAAACTCATTTCAGATGCAAATATCTTGTCGAAAAAAAAAAATTGTTTGAATTTAATTTATTTCCAATATGATTGCTGAAATCAGACTGAACAAGAAAAAAAATATTAGTTAACTAATTTATGTGTTGGGCAATCCATTAATATAAGTATGATTTGAATAAATAGAAGAAATTTTTGTACGTTGCAGGTCACAAGGCATTTTCATGGTCTATACGAATAGGGAGCCACCGTACGCTAGAGGAAAACAGTAGCCCGCATGTACATTGTACAAGTTCATAAAATTCCCATATAGTAAAATAGAATATAAGAAATAAAAGTACAAACCCATGAACCACATGATTTATAAAAATTGTAGTGTAAAATGAAGAAAAAGAGAAGAAGAAAAAAAAAACAATTACTGTAAGCATGCAAAGAGAATAACGCAAAGGTGATATTGTAATTTAAGCAAAAATGGATAATAAAAGCGTTTGTGGGTTTTTGTTTTTCCATTCAATGATTTTTGATTTTGGCAAAAGTTCGTTTCCCCATGAATAGCGTTTTCGGTTTAGGCCAAGGAATAACCATGTTGAATACTCTTATACTCTTCTTAGAAGAAACAAGCCGTATGTCGGTAATTGTACCACAGTCAACAGAGCCAAGCACTCGAATCACCAAACGGCGTAGAGAATGAGTTTCAATCAAGAATGAGCAAATTATACGTTGTATTGTGGCAATACATTAATTGGCGCTAAGGTTATTTGTGGTCAGCAAGTGAAGTGCGCGAAAAATCGCAAAAAATAAATAAAGATCTAACAGGGTGATTTTGAATCATTCAATCTATCGTATTTTGAGATATTATGCAGATGTCTCCTTAGCCAATGAATCATATTCAGATATGAATGAATGTGCATGGATTTAATCATCGTATGGAATGTTTTCGAATCACCTTCTCACCGAGCTCAAAATTATATTCAGTATAAAATCGGCATTACAACCGTCCGTCAGCAGACCGAAAAAATGGAAAGTGGGGTTTCCCACTATGCAATTCGGTGTATATTCGATCGCCGTAGATCTCGCTTAATCAACGAAAAAAAAACAACATACACAGTTTGAAATACGCCGGCTTTCTGTAAACAACGCATTTTTCGGTGTTCGTATCCACGGTGGCGATCAACTGTGCTTTTTTTATAATTTGTTTTCTACCGTCTTCGTCGAACACAACTGTAAAACGTGGATAAAGAGTGACAAAAAAAAAACGTTAAACGAAAATATCATAAATTACACGGCACCTCGTTGGATGTTCGAGAGCATAAAATGAAAGCGTGGTTCGAATACACGGAATAAGCTAGAGATTTGATTGCGTTTTATACGACATCGCTCCACATGTGTTACGCACATTGATTTGAAAAAGTCCGTATTAGCGCAATAACAAAATTGATAATATTCTTTTCGTTTGAAACTGGTTTCGTGTTATACAAGCGTTTAGAAAAGGAAAACATCAAAGCCAGCGAACAGCAACAGAAAAAAAAACAAACCAAACGTAAACAATATTACCTCTCAATCCGTTGTTACAGTTATTCAATCCATAAAAAAAAACAGTGACTGGAAATTTCGTTGCGATATTAAGTGTACATATGCTTCAGAGTGCAACCGTGCTCAATCTTTGAGAAAACCGCACATAAAACTGGTTGCATTCAAAGCATTGGCATTATATGCATTCATCGGAATACTGCGGATCGAGCGAAAGTGATATTATTACATTCATTGTCAGACTGTGACTGCACTCGCTGCAACAAAGTGCCAACGTAATCGTTTAATAAGACTATCAAAAACAAATCTGGAAGTGATAAAAGGGAATTCGCACCGAGCGGAAACCGAATTGCGCTATTTTCTTAGTGGATGAAAAATTCAAAAATCCATATTTCAAGTAGATAATGTTTTAAAATGTGCATGAAGAGTTGTCTTGGGATTTTGACTATAACAACAATCACTCTACTGTCTTCTGTGACCATTGCAGGTGAGTGTCTCTGCGTAGATGATCGTTGCGAATTTCATGGTAAAACCATCGGCTTAAATGTGTAATTCAAACTATTATGCATCGTCTACTTGAATAACGTTATTATCTAATCGAGTGAAAAATATTAACGATTGTGATTGATATTTTTTCGTGCAAGTTCAACGAATCCGAAGAAAATAAAAGCGACAACGAGAAGTAATATTTCTTGACGACAGACAACATATCATTATGTTGTCGCTTGAGCGCGCACCCAACAATTTTGTTATAGCAATGAGTAAAAAAAAAACAACAACAATCTCATAGTTGATAGATCACATTTGGAAATGGATGGCATTTCTTCTTCGTCGAATTAGCACGCATGTTTTCCATATGCCCAAATTGTAGTGAAGCGAGTAAGATAATGCAAAGTTGCCGCAATCGATCCACCGATTGAATAGAAAGTTTAAGCAATGTGCTACGAGTGAAGTGTATTATTGAACAACAACAGCAAAATGAAACAAATTCACTTTCGTTTGTTTGCAAACAAAACGGTGAAGATTCTATGGAATTGCAATGCGCGTCTATTTCCGTATTTAATGTGCAAATTATAAATTTTCATTGCACGCTCACACGTTTTACTTTGTGAGATATTAAAAATTCATCACATATTTCGCTAATCGACGAAATTCGGACTCTTTTCCACTTCAAACAAACTAAAACAAATAAAATTTGATTAAAATCGGAAAAAATGATTCGAATTCTTTGTATTCCGATGAATTCATCAATCTCGAACAGAGAAAAGGCGATAAACACACGTAAATCTGTAAAACAAATACGAAAATTATTATCAAAACTTCAAAATATAAAATGAACGGCTTAAATGACGCGCATTGACTTTTTGTGCTTGCAATCGCGCAGTAAACGACGGTCGATGACGAAAACGAAGCAGACGGTAACAACGTGATTGTTCGCTTAAGACGACTCGCCGAAGAAGAAATGTCGATGTGATGGAGACTTTCACTTTAAATTGCGCTTAAACTTCACTTTACGTCTTTCTGTATATGTGCGGTTTCGTGAACGAATTGGTGTGTTGTTGATATACATATTTTGTGTCCGTATATGCCACTCACTGAACTCGGATGAACAGAGGCAGCTGTCGTGCATAAGTGTTAAAAAAAATACCCACTCATTCGGTTTATACTGCTCAGAGGTTAATGTTAACGGTATTCAATCGTAAATGTGATCTACAAATAAGAAATCGACACATTTTTATCTCTCTCCAAATGGCAAATGGGGAATCACGTTCAAACAAGTCCGAAAACAGAAGAAAAAAAATCGACGCAAACCCATTTGTGAAAACAAAACGTATGCAACAATCTGATTTGTCGTACCGTGCCGTGCCGTTCATTCAATGTGTGCAAAGTTCAATAAACGACATATAGCTGCATTTCACAGGGAAAATAAATCAGAACACGACGATGTGCGGACAATTTTTTAACGGCTTTTAACAATTACGACGAAGATAAAATACATTTAAAAACAATAAATTTAATTACGATTATCACTGCGTTGAATTGCATGCAAATTCGCATAGAGCGCATGCGGCTCTTGTTTTATTCAGTTGGGGTACTAATTACTATTTTTACCATTTGTGGAGTGGCGTGATCGCACGTGAATGCATAGACACACGCACACACACACGTACACATCACAATCGGCAAAGAAATGAAAAAAATGTTACAAAGTTGTCTATGAATTTGAAGTTTATCTATTTGCGCTATTTGATAGTGAATTTATTTGCATTTTCAAGTTCTTGTGTTTGCGCGTTTCGTTTTTTTTTTCGGGCTGCGTTTCAAATACCACGGTGTTGTAATTAGTTTCACGCACGAAACCAATTATACAAAAAGCATTAAGATCCACAAGACAGATATTTTTATGCATGTGCTTTTTTACGTAAAATTAAACATAAATTCAGATGTAATTAAACTGCTGAGGTTGTCCTGCATTTTAGCAACTTAATTCAATTGCAGAATTGTTTGACGATTTTATTCAAGTTTTTTTTTCTTTTCGCTTGGTTTCACACTTGTAGATGCAGCAGAAAAAATTGAAACAACAACCGACGCAAACGTGTTCAAAACGAAATCATGCTTCGAGAAACCGTTGCGTTGCCCACATCCGAAAATTGAGTTTTATTTGTATACGCGCCGCACACAGAAGAAACCAGAAAAATTGGATGTCTTAGATCCAGAAGCATTTTATTATACGCATTTTAATCGTGCCCATCCAACGAAGATTATCATTCATGGATTCGGTGGTGGACGAAATTTTTCGCCAAGTCCTGATTTGCGAGAGGCATACTTCAGGCATGGCGATTATAATATCGTCATTGTCGATTATAGTCGAGCCGTTAAAGAGCCATGCCTAAGCCAAATGGAATGGGCACCACGTTTCGGAGCACTTTGTATTGCCCAATTGATTAAATACATCTCGAATCATCCGCGTGGTGTACCACCCGATAACATGCATCTTATCGGATACAGCGTTGGTGCTCACATTGCTGGGCTCATAGCAAATCATATCAAACCTACTGAGGGCAAACTAGGCCGCATCACCGGCCTAGATCCAACCATCTTTTTCTATTCATCAACAAACAGTTCAAGAGATTTAGATAAAAGCGATGCACACTTCGTCGACGTACTTCATACCGGTGCTGGTATATTGGGCCAATGGTCACCCAGTGGTGAGTATACACTTTCATTTAAAAAAAAAAACCAAATTTTGTTGTCGATTGTATTCTCATGTGAATAATGTATTATTAGGACATGCCGACTTCTACGTTAATGGTGGAACCAGTCAACCTGGGTGTGCAAGTACGACGCTTTTCAAAACACTTGCGTGTGATCACACAAAAGTCACGCCATATTTCATCGAGTCGATAAATAGCGATAAAGGCTTTTGGGCGGGACCTTGTCGAAATCTGTTAACCTATGTTCTCGGCTGGTGTCATCCAAAAGACGAAGAATATGTCTTGATGGGAGAACACTGTTCACCGAAGTAAGCTTCTATTATCATTGAAGATTCTACATCCAATGTAAATTTACATTCAATTTTGTGTGGATAATTATTATTTTTTTCTTTTTGAAATTTCACTCGCAGAGCTCGAGGGGTTTACTATGTAACAACCAACCCAGATCCGCCGTTTGCTCGTGGCTATCCTGGTACCGAGGAAAGATCGACTGACGATAAAAAATATTCCGGATTGAGAAAATAAGCCACAATCAAAAAACATTGAACATAATTCGTTGTACAAGAAAAGGAAAGCTCTTTTTTTATCAAATGAGAAAAAAAAAGTTACGTAACATGTGATATGACCTATTTTTGCCTTTCATATAAATAAAGAAATACCATAGAATATCATTTCGAAGTGTGTACTATTCTTACCTTGACAAATGACCGCAACCTTGCCAACGTGTGCCTAATCAACATCGCGCTCGAACTTGACCGACAGAAATTCCAAAATGCAATTTTTAATTTATTTAAACAGTATATAATAGATTTTATTCATGTTTGGAAATTACATTGTTGTTCAATTTTACTTTTTTTTCAATTGTTTAGTATTGTCTGTTTGTTGCTTGTTTCAATTTCGCTTTCATTTTGTTTTGTCGGTCTTTTGGATGTAACATTCGTTTTTGATTTAGTCTGTGTGTTTTTGGTATTTGTGGTAAAAGTGAGCAAATGCTTTGAACATATCTATTTGTCATGCTTTTTGTTTGGTTTTTGTTTTATTTTCAAAGACTTATCATTTATATATGTTGAATTTGGTTTTTATTAAATAAATTGCCATAAATTGTATGTGTTATGAATGAAATTTCAACGAATATACTTTTGTCGTGCGGTTAATTGGGGGATTCTCGAATACGGTCTGAGTTTGACTTGAAATGCTTTTTTGAATATCGTCTTTTTTTTTGTTCCTATCCATGGCAATTTTGAACTTATTACTTTCTTTCTAAATCCATTCATAAAATTTCGCACATGTTTTACTCTTTTTTTTTGTTTCAGTGGCAGTAGCCAATTATTTTGAATTATGCTTATAATAATTTCATACGCAATTTTTCTGTCTTCAAAACGATTAGATTTGGTTATTTAACATTTTTTCTGAGAAGGGTTTATGAGTGTTTTTCTTTCTATTATTGCATTTTTGAATATGAACAAATCGTTCAAAAACATACGGTTTTTCCCCTAGGAACAAAGTCACAATCTTGTATCGTTGTTTTTGGGTCACCAAAGATATTTTTCTTTTGTCTTTGTTTTTTGAAAGTTATCTCTTTGATATATTTGGCTATAATTTAGTGTTGAACATAGTTTTAAGCGTCTTCATGTTGATGCAGTATGATATTTTTTGTTGCTGTTCTGTTACCGTTTTTGCGGTTTTTGTTGGTAATTTTTTCTTATTTTGCGTTCTTCTCTAAGGCTTAACACTACTTATGAACTGCAAACTGATAGACTGTTCTTTGTTTTCTCGGATATTATCGCATGTGCTGATACTGATTCGGTTAAAACTTCTAATCGAGTCTATTGCCCTTGTCGTTTCCACAAGCTCCATTCATTTCAATTTTAATTGATATTTTTTGAGAGTTTTGTTGTTGTTTTTTTTTTTCATTTTACGTTGTTGTTTTCTTTTAAATACGATTATTCACAATAAAAATCAATTTCATACTAAATACAGCATTGCAAATGAACCGATTGGCGGTGTGTTGAATTGTTCGATTATATTCCCATCATTTGACCATGTTTGCGTCCATGTTTCAATTTATCTATATCTATAAACATTTAACAACGATTTAATTGTTAAGAATCGTAAATATGTTTTTGTGTGTGTTCTTTTTTTTCCAGCAATTTCGATTTTCAGTTTAGGTAATGGTTTCGGATTATTAAGGTTTTTTTTTTCTCATTTTCTTATCGAACGAGATCTTAATTTACTCTCTCTCAGTTCTTGAATAATAAGTTTTACTATGCAATTAGTTTCAATTGATAAGAACAATAATGCAATGTTGATTAAAACGAGGAACTAATTTTTTGGATTGACAACAAGGTCTTTCACAATTAGTTCGTATTCCAAGCATCATTGCCCACAGCAATTCGAGATTATATCATCTTATTAGCTAAAGGTTGTTTCATTTGAATAGAAGTATAGAATTATTAACTAAATTTGATGTGAATTCATTAAGTGCAAACTAAATAACGTGCTCAAAAGTAAGTTGCCTCGATTCAAACCATTTACACCGATAGAAAGCTGCAGAGCTTCCATTCATTAAATTTCTAATTGGCAGGGAGTCAAATGTTCAATACAAATTTACAAACTAAAGAAATGAAATGCAATCGAACTTCGAAAATTAGACAATAGAATTACATCGATTGGAACTTAATAAAATTGGTGCTCATGAAAAAAAAGCGGGATTTTTATTCCGATTTTTTGAAACACAACTGAAAAGTCGGCATTTTCATTCTAAGCTTCCTTTCTAAATTTCCAAATATTGGAATAAAAAATCCACTTTTTTTTTTTGTTAAGACACCATTTCCAAGGCCCACGATCGTATACGATTGCAATCGTGAGGCTGGAAATTAGTGCCTTTACTCAGCGATGCGCGTTACCAGAATTTTGGCTGGTACACAGCACATTTCACCAGTTACGACTTCGGTCATATATAGAACGTGTGTACATAAGGCGCGAATTAAGACGACAATTCACATCGCAAAAATTCGACCGCTTCGCACACATGTTGTAACTGGTAAACCCTACACACGAGCCACAGTTTGCTTTGATTCGCATGAACGAATGTATGACCGAAGTAGCAAATGGTGAAATGTGCTGTATACCAGCCGATCAACTGGTGACGTGCGTCGCTGAGTAGTGTAGTGCATGAATAGAAGAAAAATAGTAGTGTTTGTATATATGTAAATCAGAATAAATGTGCACACGTAATTATCTATATAGAATATGAAAGAAAATTCATGCCATTTTCACATTTCCAAGCATGCATATCACAATTCGACGAAATGATGCAATTAAGGACTTGACTTTGTTAGGGCTTGACTTCAAACACGAGTACTTTACATGTTTATCAATTACACATTGAATATTATTAGGAAAATACTGTAACTGAAAACCGAAAAACGTGATTTGAGTGGGTTAAAATGTGGTTGATTTGACGGGCTCCCTGTGAAAGTCCACTACCACCACCACATATTGCGGAAATAGACAGTGACATCGAAGTTTAAGAATATATCAGAATGAAACGTATTTCAAAAACAGAAAAAATTCAAACTATCCTCCTAAATGTACAATCTAAGTGTTGAGGAGAATGTTCTGGCAAGCCGTCCTAATGGAAAACTAAACAACGCTCTTTTCTCAGTGCAGCGGACAATTTTTATTTGGAACGAAAATTCATTTTTGCCAAACCGTCAATAATATTGATAGTGGCTTAATGATTGATTCAACATTCCGGATAAATTTTTGAGAATTTGGGATCAATTTAGACAAAAATATGTCCGAATTCTCAAAAATTTATCCGGAATATTGAAGATGTGTTTTCTGACATACACAATTCATCCGCTAGACTAAGAAAAATACGTTGTTCTTTGTGACGTACGAGCAATGCCCCTCCCTGCTAAGCATAATATATTTAATATCTATCGGACATATAATTTGATTATTCACTCAAATTATTTTACGATTAAATTTATCTATTTGTTGTTTTTATTGTCATAAATCAGCAATTGTAAGGTAGCATGTATGTGAGCGGTTCTAGTACCGTTTTGCACAACATTTTAACCTTATATAGTACAAATTTCGTTTGAATAATGTGTGCCCTCACTAACGCATACACACATCGAGCACACAAGATGCACATATTTTATATTCTGGGTTTATGTAATAGAGTATTCGAAAGTATGTTAATCTATTGCTTCGTGTTTTTTTTTTTTGTTGTTGCTGTCTCTTATTGAGATACTTGAAAATCAATTAAAAGTTTACAAGAAAAAGCATCTTCCGTACTCGATGTGTGCCACTGTTAGGCATCAAACCGAAGAAAAAAATGCCATACACATTAAAATACATCGCATTTAATCTTAAATGCTAACTTGTCAAAAGTATTTCGGAACTATATTGGTAATGGTTTCAATTTACTACTCATATCATGCATGCAATGCATATCCGAATATTTCGAATGCATTTCTACTTCATTATTGCGCTTCATGCGATTTTTATTGTCGACACAGCCTTTGAGAGTGAGTTCTCCCAAAAAATAATAAGTTTAATAATCCCTTAAACAAACTAAATATTTCTTAATCTTATACGATGACACTATAGCTAACTAACTCATTAATTAGCCTAATCTTATGATTACATGAATGACCATGACGAGATGAACATCTGACATATATCTGAATCGATGCTATCGAGTATTTATTTCTTTTTGAATTTTGTTCACTGAATATACATGCACAAATCATAATTTAATCAATGCAAGATTGCGACAATATTTTATGATTGCTGTATTGAGATTTCTTTGGAATTGTATTTTTGAGCCTTGAGAATGACTAAGCGAAATCGATCCTAATATTTCACAAACCAACGAACAAAATTAATATCAATAATAATTATGTACTTTAAATCAAGTTTCAACTTCGAAATGATAAAAATACCAGTGTTGCTAGTCCAAATACGATCAACTCATAAATTCCGACAATATCGATATGTTCGAATCTCATAAAATTGAATCGCATTCAGATTTGAAAGCGCGACTGTATATTTAACTAAAAAAGGCAGAAGAGCTGATTCAAACACACACACGCGCGAGTTTCTTATCTAGCCTAGAGTTAAAGGTATACCCATATTGTGCGCTACTTAAATCTATGATTCCACATTCCCGACCAATCTCTTGTTCGAACTAACTAAAAGTAAATGCTCAGTTAAGATTTGCATGAGAGACCAAAAAAAAAAAACAATGACTTTCGCCACAAATGCAGGCTCAACATTGAAACCCACTTAGATTGAGAAAAATATCAACACATTTGAAAAATTCAGAATAAACCGAAAAAAGATGTTTGTTTTACTTAAAAATTAAAATTTTACACGCTAAATATGTGTCTATGCCTAAACTCACATCCATATACGGCATGTGCATCAGTCGATAGATTTATTTATTGTCATATCGTCACTATTTACCGCCAATTGATTTTTCATTCGCTATATGTACATGGTTTTGTGTTTCTGTTACTTTGCATTACGGGTTCGTTCGTCATAAAGTGAACAATGATTCTTTCACGCTAAACTAACGGATTATTTGTGTGTCTTTTTTTACTTTAAATATATATTTATATACTTAATCGCTATGTTGACATAATGTCGATTCAATTGAATAGTAGGTTTTTTTAATCATTATTTTTTACACATGTTGAAATAATTTGGTATTTATTTTTTTTTTTGCTTATTTACAAATGAAACAACAAATTAAACCAAAAGAAAAAACTGAAAACGGTCGACTTTTTTTTTAAGAAACAATTTAATATCCGGAAATAAAGAGAAGAGAGAACAAATCAAATTTTATTTGAACTCAAAAGTTTGCTTAGCCCATCAAATGTTAGCCAGCACAAGGTTTTCAAACGTTGACGATCCCCGGAACAACTATAAGAAAAGTAGGATTTTCAATGCCTGCTAGAATTGTTCACATTTCCCAAGTGGGCTCTGTACACCTTAGCAAAGGCCATTGGAATATCATTACGAAAAACATGTACGCCATCCCATATGCATTTGAAAGAGTACACCTTTCATACACTAACAGTGATTGCAAAAGCGTACGCCTTCATATGGTTTGCACTATGTTAGTGTAAGGAAGTTGTACGCTATTCCTGGGAAAATTTCCATTTCTTTATATGGGATGACGTAAAATTTTCTAGCAATTATATCCAAACGACGTGAAAAATGTGTCGACACCTATGCTAACAGTGTACAGAGCCTACTTGGCTTGGTTCGCTGTTCAGTACGTTAAAACTTCTGAGCGTTCGAGCACAGCGGGCAAGTGCGATTTACTAATATACACATACATATTATTCAGAGTCTAAATTTCAGACTACCGAAAAATCTGGACGTTGGAAGATGTAGCGAATCCATGTGCAATGCACATATGCGAAAGTGACAACAGTTCCCGAGATAATAAACCTTTGAAAACACCGTGTGAAATGTTAACCTAACATTTCGAGGGACTTGAGTGAGAACTTACAAAGAAACGTATGAAATGAGGGAGGCGTTTGAGATTTACAATAATTTTTTTTTGAAACCAAAGCTACTGAAGCCAATTTCTTACAAACTGATGAAATTATAAAGAGGGATTTTCTTTGGATAGTTAATTAAATTAAGAGAAAACTTATGATAACCTAATTTTAAAATTAATCTTATAATTACGTAGCTTTGTACACATTACACTAGCTTAAAATTGAATTTCTCCACTTCGTCACTCGTTGACACACCTTTTTCTTCTTTCTCTTCCTCTTTTTTTATGATTGATGAGCTAAATTTACTAGTAAATGTGCGTTTTTAAACAAATGCAAAACACTGAACATTGCCAATGAATAGAATTTAATAACGAAATTCTGTAGTGACAACACAAATAAAATCTCTGGTGAATTAAATAACAATGATAACGAGAGAGGGAAAAATGCATTATAATGTGTGCATATAAGATATGAATGACTGAGGTGCTTGTTATACAACAAAAAAAGTGGTCCAAATGAAATGGTGAGAGCTTGTGCAAATTCAGTGCAAGTGCAAGTGCAAGTTAATATATAGTATATTTACCCTACTGTTGTTTTTGGGACACGGTTTTCTTTGATCGTTTAAATTACATTTAGAACGAAACATGGTCAACAAATCCTCACTTTTCTCTCGCCACCTGCCTCGTGAAATGGTGTGTTTGTGTGTATTTTAGTATTTGTTCCAAAATGCCTAACTAAATATATATGTATATGTTTTGGGGTTTAGAGCATATGTTGCTGCTTCCGCTCCTCCCCGATGTTATAATTGAAGTAAATATATGTGACTAGATACATCTCAAGAAACGTCTAATTTGCATTAAATATATATTTTCACTAATAATCTCTGGGTTTTTTTTTTTTGCTCATGATAAACTGACGTTTATATATATATAGTAGTTTTTTGTTGTTCTGTTTTTTTTCCGAAGACTTATTTACAAAACGAGAATAATTTGTTAACAATAAATAAAATCTGTTTGTTATGGCCAAAATGAAAACAAATGCATAGAATTTCAATAAATATACACTTAGTATGATCTATCATCTGGTGTTCCATGCATATAAACATCTCTGGCTTCGGGTTGAACGGGCTCTTCGACCATCGATGCGGCACTTGACGCAAATGGATTGTTCGACACGTGACCAGTGGCACCGTAATTCGCACCCGTATTGATATTGATTTGAGTGGTTGGCTGAGCAGGTTCATTCTGAAGTAATAGATGAAAATAGAGAGAGAGAGAGAGAGAGAGAGAGAAGGAGAGAGAGAGAGAAACAAACAGTCGAATTGTGCAATATTGTCGAATCGCAAAAAAAGCAAATCAGTTTATATAACAGAGAGATACATACAAATGCTGTTTCAGCCGTTGGATAACCGCCTTTGGTTGGGCTCCACACTGTTTGCTCTTGTGCGGGTTGTTCGGCCCATGGTTGCAATTCTCCGCTTGCGAAAATCCCATAGAATGTTATGCCGAACAAATGCACTAATGCAGCAATCGTAAACACAACTGACCATTCATCACTTCCCTGGAATCAAACATTTTCCCATTCTTATTTTCTCAAACACCACATTTTATATATTAAACTATGATTATGGTATCGCAAGTATGGCAGACAAAGTCTGGTAATAAATGACTTTGAACAGAAAAAAATGTAATAAAATCACTTTATTCAGAGCGAAAATTGCTGACAGTGACTGCATTCAAATTTCAAACGCTGTTAAGCACCCACGCGATGGAAGCGACAGTGTATTTTCTCTCTCCTACTCCTCAAACGAATCTTTCTAGCGTGAACAATATAATGCTAGCTTAAAGAAAAATTCGATTAAGCTTGATTGAATGAGGTGCATTCGTGCTGAACGAAAGTGAAACGTTGGCATCGAAACCGAATTCTGTCGACATTTTAAAGGGGGATTCCTTTTTCCCGAGCTACACCATTTTCGAATGCGGCAATATTTATATCGAAATGTGCATATTTACACTGATACGGTAGCAAAGTGGAACTATCGCCACGGAGATCACGTGGAACGATGAATATAAATGTTATATAACAAATGATATGAAATGAAATTTGAAAATTTTTTGTAGATACTTACCACATCTTTGGTTAGAAAATCTATCACGATCGGACAAAATATGCCAGCTAATGTTCCAATGCCATTTGATAGGCCCATCAAAATACTAGCGTATTTTGGTGCAATATCTAAATGATTCACATTGTAACCGGATATGGCAAAACCACTGAATGCAACTCCAAACGTTAAGGCGGTCATTGCACCACTCTAATTTGTGGAGGAAAAAAATCGTTTGTGATTTAGTTTTTTTTTTCATCGATTATTTTTCGACGTCACCTATCGCTGTCATCACTTACCGCTGTTGTTGCGTGGGCAACTACCAGAAAGAATAATCCTTCCATACCGAATCCACCGCAATTGAATAGTTTTCTATAAAGATGAAACAATTGAATTCACGTCAGAGTGCTAGTGCGTCATTTGCACCATTGAGTGTGGGTTTGGTCTTACCTAACATTTGTTGTTGACAATTGGCCACTTTTGCGTAGGCGATCGGCTAGTACTCCACCAAAAGGCACGATCAATGTCATTATCAAATGTGGCAGCGCGCTAACTGTACCCGCCTCGGATGTATTGTAGCCAAATTTACGCTCCATGAATTTGCTTTGATACAGCACCAGCATATAAAAGTTCCACGAACGGCAAAAATTTGCCACGACAATGGCATAGACCGGTTTTGATTTGGCAATTTCTTCGAATGGTGTTGATGATATCGTGGGCATTGAATGGCCTGTGTTTTCACCCAGTGATTTTTCAATATACTTCATTTCTTCGACCGTTATTGTGGGATGTACTCTTGGCCGTTCGAAAACCAACCAAAGCCAACCACAATACCAAAATATGCCGCAAATCGAATAAAAGTAAAACGGAGCCTGCCAACTGATATATTGTGCCAAAATTCCCGAAAGTGGCATACCGAGCACTATACCAGCATACGAACCGCAGAATGCAATAGTCGCTAATCGTGATCGCTCTTGTGGTGGCGCCCAAAATCGCCAAATACCATGACAAGCTGGATACACCACACCCTATGGATTATTTGAATTAATTTTCCATCTCTTCCTCTTGATAAACTGGTTGTTTTTTTTCTCATTCTTACCTCGACCAAACCTTGCATAACTCGAATTATGAGCAAAATTGTGACATTTTCTAATTTCATTGCACCCGGCACCGTCATATTAAGTAGGGCCGATGTACAAATGGCTGCACCAAAAATACGATTGGCTGGAAAAACTGACGCGAGAAAACCACCTGGAATCTAAAATTCAAATCACGATCAAAATAAACAAAATACAAGAAAAAAAAACGCTTTAAATTTCGTTTAAATATTAACGAAAGGACAATCAAAGATGTTTTACCTGTGTTATCAGGTAGCCCCAAAAGAATGATGAATCGACCATACTCTCTGTAGCTGCATTCCAGTGTAAATTTTGCAGTCCCGTCTGAAATCAAATCAAAACAGGATATCATCAGACGTGAAAAGTTTGCATGCGCCAGTAAACATGAAGCGAATTCGTGCGAATTCATGCGTAAGATGAGCATTTTAAATGAGCGATTCACAATTCGATTTTTTTTCTTCTTTCAGATTAATAGGCGCTAAGCCATCAATCCCTGCTATGGACTAAATAGAACACAATAAAGAGGATTTCCAATTCATAAACAAAATTATGAAAGGCAATGCCGGCGCTCGGCATTGTTCCCATTCGAATAATATCAGCAGACGTCATCAATTCAGACACATTTACAATTTCACATTTTGCACATTCACCGACACGCACATACAAAGCATTGTGAACTATGGTGCAGAAAATGTTGGTGTTTTTGTGTGTGCATAAAACATGAATTATGTCATAATCTGTGTGTATAGTCTAGAAGTAGTATATGTAACGGGCATCAGCAGAGAGGAATAGAAGTGAGCAAACATTCTCCTATTTAATATTGTTCCGTATATTCCAGTGAGTCGAGTCGTTGGGGATATAACACAGCATTTTACCAGCCATCGTATATTACAATGTGCACCAAATACGTATAAAAGCTGTTCCATTTCCTGATTCGGAGCCAGATTGTGAGAAGAAAAACTAGAGAACAACAACAGTGAAAACGGCAAACAGGAAACAAGGGTTGGAGACATCATCATCAACCAAATGACTTTGTACATAAAATAACTCATCTCTATCGTTCGCTCGAGAGTTTTTTTTTCCTTTGCATTCGAAACATTATAATGTTTTTTTTTGACGGTTCGGCTCAATATATACGTATTATATCGGATTCAAAGGAAAATATTCAAGGAAGTCGAACGAAATGAGACAAATGACATGTTTCTGGAGTCTAGCACAAAAGCCATGAAATAAATGTTTGGATCGAACGTTTTTGGAACCGTAGTGCAAAAAATGGAAAAACACTTTTGTCTTTACTTTCTCTTTCAAAATTATTTTTAAAACTTTTTAAAAGATTCAGTTCGAATTTATCGAAAATGATTGAATAGAGTATAAAAGCGATGAAACACGAGGGCTTCATTCATATTTTGTGAAAAATGGCTTTTCAGAAAAGCAGTTAATGAAACGAATACTAATCAAAATTCGTCGACCACAAAAATGGTCCATTTTATCGTACTTCATGATATCAATAGAGTTCTTTTACTTCAGAAAAGTTTTGTTGCTCAATTTTTTTTTTGGCTTCTTTATTAATTTTCGTCATGGCATTTGAACACATAAATTAAGACATTTAATTTGCTACGCTCTTTGATTTTGTTACAAACAAAACGCGTTCGCTGTCAAAGTTAAATTTGCTATGCAACCGACACATTGTATTCATGGTTCATATTTTACGGCAACCCCACAATACAACAGCCATATACATACATCTAGACTTTATGTATAATAACATTGTACGTCACAAAGGACATGCTTTGGGTACAAACAGTATAACAGCAGCAGCAACATCATCAGAAAAAAAAAACACGAAGAAGAATACACACAAGTCTCTATTGAAACAGCAAAAGTGAAATGAAAAGGCATTGCAGTATATAATACTGAGTAGAGAAGAATGCATTAAATGAAGAGTTTTAATGCATATTACCGACGTATTCATATCTGTGTTCACAGCTCACCGCCTCCGATTCCATTCAAAGTCACATTGATAAAAAAAAAGAGAGAATAATGAAGATATGAGCGTGTGGCTCGGCAAAACCATGACGATTATCGATGTGTGTTTCACAGAATGAAAAGGGAAATTTTGTCCACAAGGTTGCCTTTATTGGCGACATCTATTTGGGCACAATCACTGTAGAAACGTAGTGTAGATTCACAGATAGGTTTGCTATTAGATGTTAAAGTTAAAGCCAGACGAGAAAAGAATTCTTCAAACCATGGATGTCTAGCACTCTGCAGAGTGCGCTGATGATTGCAACAACCATATGATTTTATCATTCATGCTGAACATACAGACATATTTCATTTATCAAAAATCGAGTTCGACATCATAGAAAGATGATCGAAAAGATTGGGATTCTTTGTTATGTGTTTAAAAACGAACATTCACCCTTTTGCTAATGATACCTAATGATGGGAGATGTTTTTAATTTCCGAGGTGCATAATTTCTTTGAATTTTTTTTTCCTAAAAACCAATCCCTTAAAACTTGGAGCAAACTTGCATTGCCAGCACGTTGGTGAATCTATATCGCCGTATATGATTTTAAAGAGAATTTCAACTTACATGATTCAATGTTTTATTGTACAATTTTTCCCGTTCCGGTTTGGCCGCACTCAGATTACATTTCATACCGAATGAAATGATAAAACCCATCATAGCCATGACCGCGACGGTGTAGCGTGCGCTCAGGCCAAAAAATTCCGCACGAACATATTTATCGATGTGTCGTAGTGGCGGTCGTTCGATTTCATCGAATGACGTTGGTGAATCTATGTCGCCGTTGACATTGTCGTATCCATGTTTTGGCTGGCTAAATTGGTCGAATTTTTCTAATCTGAAATGAACAAAGAGAAATAAAAAGAGACGAACGTTATTAATTAGGGAGATTTATCAACGATTCAAACAATGCTGCGGAGCCATTGGCTGCTATCAATGCTTCGCATTAAATTTAATCAGATTTGAAAATGAAATGAGCAATACAAATGACTGTTACAAACATTATAAATTGACAATGACAATTTATGACATTGAGAAAATCACAGAGAGATCATTTTCATACAGACTTTACAACAGATAAAATGTGGAAAAAAGAAGAAGAAGCTTAACCAAAGAACTTATAACAAAGTCGATTTCTGAAGAAATATTGTTAGAATTCGCGACTGAAACAATTCGATTTCGAATTTTCCAATTTATGGAAATTAACAAACGATTGGCATTCTGCGACAACAATATTACATGATTCATGTTTGCGCGAGACCGTAGCACACGAAGCGATAATTAAATTTAAATAACAAATTAATTTAGTCAAGTGGCAAATGAATGTGATATATATCATGTGCAGAGAAATGGAGCCAAGTGTTGAAATGAGAGAAAAAGAAGACACTCTTCCAAAATCGAATGACATTGTATGGCGAATATGCTCAACGACCAAGTAAACGTAATTATTGTGCGAGTGTCTTATGAACAGCAGCAGCAGCATCAACGTTCGCGACAACAGCTCAATAACAATAAGATTCATCAAAAGCTGAAGCACGTTCGCAATGAATGAAACCACTTGATGTCATTTCCTTGCACTCTTTTGTATTTTCTTACATTCAACGGCCGCATCAGCACCATTATTGGTTGTGTTAGGCATCTCCTTTCTTAGCGTATTCTACAACATCTTCAAACATTTTTCGCGTAATATGAATAACAAAAACTGGGCTCGATATAATCGAGTAAAAGAGCTGAAATTCGATGTTTTTCCTTTACAAAAAAAAACGGGATCGATTGTCATGAAAACGATGCGTAAAGTGACTTTGAAGCATTCATGTACGTTCTAAATTTGACTGTTGAATTTCCAAAGAAAATGCCATTCAAAAAATAACACGTTCACAAAATGTACGAACATCAGAATACCATTTCTGTGCCAACCTGATTCCAATATTCTCACTGAATTTGAATTTTATACCGAAATAAAGAAATTACAGAAATTTGAAACGAATTCCACTACAACACAGACTCAGCATTTGATATTAAAATGTGAGTCAATAAAAGAAAGCATCACTAAAACGCTGATCGTGATACTGAATGAGAATCATTTGTTAATAACATGAAACACATCACCCGTCGATGCACCCTTTGTTTACTTATTTAAATGTAATCATTTTTACTTCAGTTTTTGAATCGAAGCGTGGAACAGTTTTCAGCAATCCATCAAAAGTGGTACGGTTTTTATTTGTATTTATCGTTTAATAATGATCTTCTCGACCCGACTGATTCAATATTTGATTGAAAAGCGTACAATAATCCAAATTCACCTCCAGTATTGGCAGGGAAATGTTATCCTCGCTCTTTATCGAAAAGATGAATCTCTCTCTCTCTCTCTGCATAATTTTCCCGACATTTTACGCCCAGCAAATCCGGAATATTTTGTAATCGTCAACAACAAACTAAACAAAAAAGATACATTATTGCACAGATTTACATTGAATCCATGCAAATATTTGTTTTGTGTTTCGGTGGAATTGTAATTAATGTATTTAAAGCAAAATCGAGTGCGCGCGCTACAGAATACTTTCAACGGATGATGAAACTTCAGGACGTTCTTTGTTCATGAAATAAATTTGGTTTTTGGTAGTCGTTTTTATAGTAGGTATGGATTTTGTTTGGTTTTCAAAGTTATGTAGATCTGTCTGTGAATTCCACTCAAGTGTCTTCGGTTCATATGAACAGTCTTTGTCCAATAGCAAAATGGCTTTAAACGTCTAAACTACTTTTACCCAAAAAAAAAATCCATCTGAATACATAATAATAGGACTTGATATCCTGCTTAGCTCCAATTACTTGTCATTATCACCATTTAAAATCTTTGCATCGCATCGTTGACGGGATTATAAAATCATTACTCACTGTGAGAAGCGAAACCGAAAAGCGTTTTCGTTTGCAAAGCGGAGATTGAACTCATCAGAAACAACAGTGTGAGCGACGACAATCATTTAAACTCATACCCAATGGTTATTTGGAATGTACGGACAAAATGCATACAATGAACATAAATACCAAAAACATCAGCACAACGAAAGGGGTTCCAAGACAAACGAGCGGCAGAGCGCATTTTTCGACTTCAGCCGATTATTATTAGCGATGTATTTTGCTTGATTTTAATGAACACCAGATTTAAATATAATATCCATTTCGTTGTACGGAGATAAAGTCATAAGGCAGTGCGTAACGTGTTTCTCCCCCTCAATCGAGCGGCGCTGTGTGAATCACACATTCTCATGTTAAATATTGCATAAACCAACTGATGATATCGTTGTGTGACTTATTTCAATCGTGTCTGTATATATATAGAGAGTTGCCGGTTCCACCCTAAGGGGTGAGCAACACATGAATTCATTTACTCTCGGTTGGTTGATGTGTGTCATTTCAAAGTGAGAACATCGGCAACGCATACGTATATTAAGTCAGAATAACGCAAGGGTTCCACTTGTACGGTATCTCCTGCTATTACCAGTACCAGCACTAATAGCTAGGTATACGCAACTTTTAAGTAGTTGTAAATAAAGCAGTCGCAAATTCTGCCTACATCAATTGTTATTATCTTTGGAAATGTTCGGTGCATGTGGCTATAGGACTTGATATCGTAACATTGCGTAATAATTTTCGAAATTATTCGGCAATAATTTGTCTACTTAAAGCGTTTTATTTGTTACAAGTTTCTTCATTCGCCAGAATATGCGTGGTTTCAAAGTGAGATTTCAATCGGGCTTCATTTCGTTATTTGCATGGCAATTCGATTGGATAATAATCAAATTGTGAAAGAAGACTCACCGCCAATTACAAGCGACACGTGTATTAATACAATTACTTTGCTTTCATTAAATATACACCTGTGTTTGATTTTTATTTCCATCATAGCCAAAAGCGTGACTTTCCAAAATGAAACAAAAAATATGATTTGGTTTGTTGTCAACTGTCAGTTTCGAAAAAATCAATTCAAAACAATTACGCTCAATTTGCCGAAATGTTTCTTTCAACAATAATGAACATAATAAATGTATCACCATTATTGTCATTGCAATATATATGCCAGGGACCATGTTTGAGGCACAACGACTATTAAAATGAAATATTTCTTCGGCTTAATTCTGCCATTTACCATGGAATGTTGTTCATTTTTCAAATTGTGCGCTCCCCACATTCATGTCGAAAACCGTGTACATGTGTACCACATATTAAATTTAAATCTACTCCAACCACTTTGTTTCAAAATGCTCATCAAACGACAAATGATCAAAAAGCATTTCACAAATGACTCACAAAGCAACGATTACGGGGGAACATCATATACCATTTTGAATATGGGAAAAAAAATGTTTTGTGCATAATCATAAATAATGTGGAGTATACAATAAATTTTTGCCTTCAGTCCAATGAAAATTGGTGTGACAACTTGTTTTTGATGATGAATGTAATGTTCATGCATCGGTCTTCCCTGTATGCATGATGTTGTCGGGAGTCGTGGTTTAACTTTTTTCATTAGCGAACATTTGTGACCACAACGTTGGCCATCCACATTTGATGGCAGCAGGCGTTCAATTACAGACATGAAAAGCAATGACTATTCTAACAACCACTGTGCAATCTCCGCATTTTGTTGGGAAAATGAAACAAACTTTTCACATATAATTCGATTATTTTTGATAAATGATGAGTTTTAATCAAGTTTAGAATTAAAATGTGCTGAGGCTGAAAGAGGCGTTATGTCGAATTTTTTTTAAAAGAAATATGACTATAAACTGGATTGCTTAAAAATCATTCAAAGTCCACTCTATTTTCACTGAATGAAGATAAAAGCAAAGTACGGTTTCGTTCTGTCATAACTCAAACAAAAATGAAGCTAGTATTAAATTTTATTCTACAAAATTCCAAACGATGGTTATGAAAAAAAAAACGATCAAATATTTCAAACATAGGCTATCAAATTATTTATTTGTCCATTGCATCATAGCTCATACAAACAATTTGAAACCGTACAGTTCTTTTCTCTTCGTTGAATTGGCAATGAATCAAAACAAACATTGAAAATTGGTTTCCGTTTAAGAAATTCAGAAATTCGTTTGGCTTCTACTCCGTCCGTTCTTTTTCCCACTGCGATGCTGTTTTCAAGCAGTGTATATATTTTTCGTTGTTTACGTAATCCATCGTCAGAGAGAGAGAGAGAAAGAGAGAGAGGAATGATTGGTGGTTGAATCAAGTGACTCCATAAATCACGGTAAATATGATGACAATGAATTATAACTTTATTACTGTGTTCTATGGCAATTTTTGGGGAGAATGTCGTTTGAGCGCATCGGAGCGATTTTATTTATAGCCTTGTTTTGAGTTTTGTAATCAAGCGGCAGCATTGAATTCCAAACGATTGCTTGATCGAATTCATCAATATAAAAATTGTCATTTTTTCCTCGAAATAGAGTTTCGAAAGATTTCAATTAATTTCTCCAGAAAAAAACCCATAACTTTAGTCATTTAAAAATTTAAATGGATACCCAAATTTTTTAAGATGAAATACGGTCTTTTTTCGGTTGAAAAATATCTTACTTTTAAGGTTTCACCATCATAGTAATGGAAAACGAACATTTACTTTTTGATCTTTTCATCGAAAAACAAAAAGAAAAAACAACACGAGGAAACTAATTAATTTATTCATTACGAAAAACAGGCAAAAAATATCTCTTCCACTTAGCAGCGACAGAGAAACAATGGTCGTATCGAGGCGACACCCTACACAGATTTTACACGCTGAGCACTTGTGCAGCGTGCGATATGAACTGAGAAAAGGACCATTTA